CATGTTCGGTGAGAAATACTAATAGAGATTTAAAGTGAGAGATAGATTGATAGACAGATAAGCAAAGTGAGTCTTAAAACTCTTTTATGGAGAAAGATAAATCCTAAGGTGTGTTTTGATTTTTGGAACATATTAAATGATTGAAAATTTCTGTTAAAAATATTTTATCTAGGGGAGAAGAAATGAACAAAAATTTCCTCAAACTTTAAATACAAATGGCCAAAAGATACATGAAAACATATTCTACATTGCTAATGATCAGGGAGATGCAAATCAAAACAATGAGATATAATCTCACACTATGGAGAGTGGCATCAAAAAGAGCAAGAATGATCAGTTTTGACATGGATGTGGGGAGAAAGGGACTCATCAACTTATTGTTGGTGAGGATGCTGATTGGTCCACACTTTTGGAAAACAATGTGGGCATCCTTCAAAAAACTAAAAATTGAGCTCTCATATGGCCCAGCAATAAGACTTCTGGGAATATACTCCGGGGGCCCAAAAATATACGGAAGAAATGTTTTCTGCACTTCTATGTTTATTGGAGCACAGCCAGAATCTGGAAACCACCCAAGTGCTCAAGAACAGATGACTGTTTTAAGAAAGCATGGTACCTCAACACAATGGTATACTAACTATGCAGCAATTAGAGAAAACTGAAGTCATGAAATTCACTTATAAGTGGATGGACATGGAGAGCACCATGCTGAGTGAAATGTGTTAGAGGAGAGGGGCAGAAATAGAATGTTTGCACTCATTCTTGGGATATAAAAACAAATAATATGAGATTAATACCCAAGGACAGTAGAATCAAGGATCAGGAGTATTCGTCCATGGTTGGAAGCCTCAGCTACAAGTGCTGAGGAGAAAGCAATTGGGATAGAGAAGGGACCATTATGACAAAGATAGTTGGAAATGATCATTCTGGTTAGGAGCTGCATGCTGAAAATAGGTAAAGGAACAAATATAACAACCTCTCAGTATCTGTGTTGCAAACCATAAGGCCCAAAAGAAGAGTGAGAGAGACAGAGAGACAGAGACATAGAGAGAGAGAGAGAGAGTAGAGAGAGAGAGAGAGAGAAGGAAAATGCTGCCATAAACTGGGGAAAGTGCTGATAGGAAATGTACGCTGGTGGAGGGATAGGTGTTGAAAAATTGTATGACTAAATTCTGATCATGAACAGTGCTGTAACTGCATATATGCAAATGATTCCATAAATAAATAAATATTTTACATAAAATGCCATTATAAAGCCTAAATTATTTTAGAAGATTATGTTTTATTTGTATTTACTTTGTATTCATTTAGAATAAAGTAAATAATTGGACCCCTGCGATGAAATTTTTCCAACTCATTATATTTCCTCATTAAAAACAATGAAAAAACACTTTTACTGACTTACTGAATATCACATGCTACTTTTAGTAAAGTTCTTATTTTAGTGAATTTGACAAAAATGATAATATGCTTAGTATAGTCAATTTTTAAACAAAAGCTGTGCATAGCAAGCATGAGTGTCAAAGAATGAAGCCTAACTTATTTGAGAATGAAAGGGTCTCAGAAAACTAATCTCTAAAAACACATTGCCAAAGAAGTTGTGACTAGGTGTTAGGCAAGTGAAGAAAAACAAATCAAAGAAGATAGTATAACATGATCATATATTCAAAGATGAATGAAGCAGGCCAATTAAAATAGTTGTCACAGAGAAATATTGAAATGAATGATCCCAAGTAGAGAAAGTGGTACCTACTTCAGCATAGCTACTTTGACATTCTAGAGTCTGTTATACTTATCTTGAGAATAAGTGAAAACCCAAAATAAGTTATACAGACCAAAGTGTAATAAAAAGATTCTACTTTAAAGATAGGTACTTCACAGCAGTGGGGAGGATGAATCATAGGAAGTTGGAATTGGACAAATAGAGATGTATTTATAAAAATAGGTCAGTATTTCAGCTTATAAAATATTAGGGCTGGAAATGGATAAAGTGTACATGCAAGAAAAAATGAAGATAACATTATGACAGATTCAAATGATTTATTGTCTGATTTGATATAGAGGCAGTTTCTCTCTTCACTATTTCTCTATGTATCTATCCATCTCTCTATGTATGTATCCATGTATATATCTAAAATGATATTTATAGAGGTTAGAAGCATAGAGGAAAGTATAGATATCAGTGGTATCTATATAAAAAATAGATCAGATTGAGGTAATTTGTGGATGGTTCAAGAAAAGTCTTCTTTAACTGATAAGAACAAGAAAATGTATCTATATGTATGCATGTATATATATATACACACATATACATGTGTGTATACTACTATGTATATGTACATTACGTATCATATATATTTATATCTATGGAAGACAGGAACAAAGACCTCTAGTTCCATCTTAATCTTCCAATGGTGTGAATCCTTTTGTCACTTAGTAACAGTTTTTTTTTCCATGTTCAAGTTTTATTTTACATTAAAATACTAATATTTATTTAAATAAACATATTAATACATATTATCAGAGTAAAAATAAATTAAGTTAATGACAGAATGAGTTAAATCCCCCAGTTTTATAAGCTTTGCAAAAAAAAATAATTAAGATTTGTATAGTAGTGGGAATTCAGTTTTTGTACACTGCAGAAACATCAAATATATAAAAATAGCTTGGGATAAATCATTTATACTCATTTTTTCAGGTTAAATAACGTCTATTTCTTGTCTCTGTGGTCATATTCCAAGAGAGACACAATATCTGTTGTTTCAGTTTTAACAAATAAAGTTCCCTTCTCAAAATTTTCAGAAATTTTTATCATATTCCCCCAAAGTGGATATTGTTTCTTATAAATATTATTAAGCATGACTAACAATATCATGTAATAAAAAGTTTGAAAGGAAATGTAGGAGAATAACAGAACCGACTTATAAAAATTAAGAAATAATAACATGGAAAAATCAGGAGGAAACATATCTACATTCAGATGATGATATAGAGTGAAAGTAAGGAAAAAAACAATGGAGAGTGGTGTCAAAAAGCAAAAATATCGGTGAGCAAGGAGGATGATAGATGTGACAAAAAAAGAAAAGTGAAATCAGCATATTTTAAAGTCAAATACTTGGTTTGATTTTAAAAAGTAGAAGAAATAATTCTGCTCTGACAGTTTGAAAACAAACTGGGTCAGCATTCCCCAGTAGATATTCCCATCTATTTTATCTTCAAAAATAGTTTCAAATATTTTGCTTGGGGTAAAAAATCATTCGTTCCAATTTTAGTTCCCATTTTGGAACATGTTATCGTAGAGCATTTGAAACTGAATTGCTTGCCTTAGTGTTTCTATCTTCGCATTTGTCAGTCATATAATGGTATACTCAATCTTCTATAGCTATGTTTTTCAGGAAAATATTTATATCAATGTTATTATGACAAATAATAAAATTGATGTAGGTTTATTCCTTATTTTTCAATTAAAATTGAATTAATGCAGATTAGTGTGCTATAGCAATATACTTTATGCTGAATAAGACTTAAGGTAACCCGGATTCTAGGATGATCATCTGAAATAAAAGTATCTCAGTATGGTATTACTTAAAAGTGGATCTTTCTTTCCAGGAGTGATGTCTTACTCAGGCTATCATTAAACTTTTCATTTGTGCATGGTAAGACTTGCATTCTACCATGCAAATAGACTTTGTCACCCTGTCAGTGGCATGAACTCGAACAAGTACATATTAGAAAACCCTCTTGGGAACGTGTAATATTCCCTAGTTTCTTATTGATAAATATATCATCCAATGTAGTTAAAACATCAGTGAAAATACTGTAAAGGTCATTTTAAAATATCAGAATTGGCAGGTGGCAGAGGAAGGGGGTTGAGGTGTAATAGTACAACAGGTATGGCAATTGCCATGTATACCTCTGACCTGTGCTTGATCCCTGGCACCCTATGGTTCCCCAAACACTGCTAGAAATGATCCCTGAGTGCAGAGCCAGGAGTATCAGAGCCAAATGTAAGCACTGAGCCCTGCCAGATATAGTTTCCAAATGAACAAACAAAATAAGAATCTGGAAACAATGGACTTGACTGAGTACATGCTTTGTGTGCAGGAGGCCCTGGTTCAATCCCCTGTGCCACGTGGTCCTCTGGGTCCTGGCACAGAGATGGGACTATCCCGCAAGGATAGTAAAAAAGAGAAAGAAAGAAAGAAAGAAAGAAAGAAAGAAAGAAAGAAAGAAAGAAAGAAAGAAAGGAAGGAAGAAGAAAATCATAATCTGTAAACATGATGTGGAAACTTTCTTCTGTTATAGGGTGACTTGGATATATAATTATATGATAAATATTCACTACTAAAAATATTTTCAAGGGAAATTATCAGTTTAATGTGCTTCTTTCTTTCAGATTCTCAGTTGAGTATGTGTAGAGGAGATTATACTTGTTATTTTCTCCAGCATGTTACATAATAGAAACTGATTTATTAGTTGACCAATTCCTTAGTTCATACCAATATGAACCAATATGCTTAAGCCACCTATGAACATAAACATGAGGATTTTTAAAAGTAAAAATGTTTTGAGATCTTATATTCATCATCTGCCCTTTCCCCCCCAACAGTATATTTTACAGGTTTTGAAAAGATACTATGAACTGTGCATAGCTTTAATCATCCCTCCCTAAATCCTAACATTTGTTTATTATCCAGAACAGTGGTTTCTAACCATTTGTTCATGAACCAACACAGTTTACAGGTGTACAAAAATTGGAAATCACTGATCTAGAGGGTCAGTTCAGAAAAAATTGTTAATGCCAAATGTAAGCAACATTAGGACAAAGAGAAAAGCAATTAGACCTTTTATAATTTGTTCTGAAAGGTGGTATTACAGTTTAAGTATTGACAGTAAAAATGACAATTCATTGTACCACTAAGTTTCAAGAATACCAGTGAAGAGGAGAGAAATAGATAAATCCAAACTTCTGTTAGTGTGCGTTCTTTAAAGAGTGAAAACCAATTAAGAACAAAAGTTTGTTTTACTTAAATATTTAACAAAAATTTATTGCAAGATATGTTTGCACTGAATTTACAGTTTCAAGGAACATGGTACAAAACATAGTGCCATTAGCTTTTTCTAAACATTAAATAGGTGCAAATACACAAATTAAAAAAACAAATAGCATACTTTACAACATAAGTTACAGTACTATAAATATATTTTATGTACAATATACATACTTTTAAGACATCATGTTAATATACAGCATATATTTATTTTCAAACTATTCAGTGCCTTATCTTTCTATATATATGAAACTTAAGAGTTTATTTGCATCATTACACTTAGGGTAAATGATTTCATATCAATGATGCCATTCTCCGATCTGCTTATTTCCACCACTGAAATAGAAAATTATCCACGTGAATGAACGTTTGTGAACATAGCAGTAGTCTTCATGTGCATATGTCTTTCTTTCGAGTGGTGATGACTAGAAGAGGGGTTGCAGAGGAATGACAGTAGGGTGTGGGGAAAGCAGCGAAGGAAAGAGAGCATGGGGCAAAGGCGTGAAGGTCAGGTGGCTGGGATGGAGAACTGAAGCTGGAATGATGGGCATCGGAGGAGAGGCCACCAAAGTCGGCTGATTCCCAGGGCAAAGCCTGGCTCCCATGGGTCCGATTGAGATTTGAGGTAATGACGTTCTGGTGAGGGCTGGAACTTGGGACAGAAACTGTTGATGGGGCTGAAGCACTTTAAAGGTTCCTGCAGCTGCAGCTGCTGCAGCTGCAGCTGCAGCGGCCGCGTGCTGATGCAGAACGGTGTGGTGCAGGGTGGTTACAGAGGTAGAACATAAGGGCTGCTGCAAAGGCAGAGGCTGCAGAGGTGTGCTGGGGGGTGGGAGGGCCGCTGGAGGAAAAGTGAATTTGGCCTTGTTGGCCAGCATGTGGGGTGGGATGATGTGCTGGTAGACTTCACATGGGAGGCCTTTTAATTTGTCATGGTTTTCTATCGGAATCAATAATGCTTGTTCTGGCAAAGCCAGTGGAGTCAGAATTTGCTCGGCTGTTACAAAGGTATGAGCGCTGACGTGTGCTTCTTTAAAGGATAACGGGGGTTGTGTGTTCAGAACACCCGAATTGAAACGCAGCCGCTCTGGGGGGGAGGCCTCATTCATCTTTCCTTGGGGGAGGGCCTCAGCCAGTTCATAATGACCAAGGTATGATTTAGGTGGTGACTGTCTCAAATTCCTCTCAGTATTAGGCATCTTGACATGAATTTGCTTTTCATTAATATTTATATTCTCACGTCTTTCTTGGTGGTCAAGCAAGGCGTCATTTTTTTCTTTTGTGGAGGCACTAACTGCGGAAATCTCTGGCGATTGACCAGAATTAGACTCTTTAACTATCAGTTCAGTTTCGAGGTTGGTCTCAGCAGCAAGGAGACTTCTAGTGTGCAAAGCCAGTTCATGCTCTACTTGATCTGTTTGCTCTGAGTTCCCTTCAAGACGTGAAATTTCTTGTGGCTTTATGTCATCATTTTTGACTTCATTTATTAACTCAGGTTGTTGACATAAGGGAGAATTGCCTTTCATGGAATGATCTGCATTCTCTTTACATTCTGACACTTCGAATTTGGTGTGCAACCTGCTTCTTTTTCTCTTCCGTTTTCTTTTTGGCTTACAAGGAGCTACTGAAGCATGTGGTGATCCCAAACAATCGTCTGGAAAGTTATTCTGCTGATTTAAACTTTCCTCTGAAGAATAAGAATATGAGTGTTGTCTGCGTTTTCGATGAAATCGTTCAGATTCACTAATGAGAGAATTGTAACCTCTTTTAACAGCCTGATTCTGACTCATGTGTTTCATATCATTTTGAAGAACTAAACATTTGTGAACTGGACTACAGCTGGATACTTTGGCTTTCCAACTATAGTAAGTTCTGGAGTATGTTAAATTATGTTTTCCAGATTGTATCATTGTTGAATTGGATTGTTCATTTAAAACAGATGAGCTATTTTTACAGTTATTTTTATAATTGATGGCATCGTTACTATTATATTCAGTGTTCCAGCTCTTACATGTTTCCTCATTTTCAGTTACATATATGGATGCTGATTCAAGTTTTTTATTAAGTAACTGGTGTGAGCCTAATAATTGTTCTGTAGCTAAATTTTGCCTTTCTGAAAAAATTTCCAGTAGCTTTTTCCTTGTTGCATCGGTACAACTATTTTCCACTTCCGTGTTGAAGGAAGGTTCTGATTCTTTGATTTTATCCCCAAGATGCTGATGACAAACTTTTCTTCTTCTTTTCTTTCTTTTACTTTTATGGAACCAATGTGCATGGGTGTCTTTCAACCTTATTTTGTTGTATTTCTCACTGGGAGTGTCCTGTTTAATTTGATTTTTAGTAAAATTATATCTACTTTCTTTTCTGATTTTACAGGAGATATTTTTATACCTTTGATCCATATTTTCATTTTTTTCAGAATCACAACTGTTGGAGACATTATCATCTACTGAAGGAGAAGATACTTTGCTATCTTCCCCTCTGTCATCTCCAATTTCAGAGTCAGGAACTTCTGCAATAGAGACATCCTTGCAATCTGAAATTGTTCTCTTAGTAATGTTTTCTTTTTCCTGCTGAGAAGAAAGATCATTTGAGTACATCTTATTTTTATACATATTGTTGCTTACTTTAGTAGATTTGAAGTCAAAACAGAGAGGATTACAACTATAGGAAATTGATGGTTGAGAAACTGTGTATATTAGCATTTCTGATGGCCACTGAAGAACTGTGGTACCATCTTTGTTAAGTACAGGTACAAATGGTTCATCTGGTCTTTTAGGTACATCTGTTTTCTGATGTGTGGTCATTTTAACCTCTTCGATATTTGAAGTGAGCAACATTTCATGGTCATTATTTTGTATTTCAACTTCAATTGTGGCTGCATCATTGTCTTTAACGTTTTCCTTGGTGGAGACTTCCAAAGATACACAGTCTGTAGACATCTCAATAGCAACGGGTTTATTCCCTAACAATTCGCAACTATTGTCATTCATAGGTATGTTTTCATTAATAATGATATTCTCTACTGGTATTTGATCCTCCAGTGGGACTATGTTTGTGCAATTATCTGCAACAGAAAATAAAGGGAGCTGATACTGGGAAAATGAAGGTAATAGTAATATATTATTTTCAGTGGAATTATCTTTAATCTCTTGAGTTTGAGTAGCTTCTTTGTCAGTACACATTCCCTCTGGAGACTGAAAAGAGTTTACTTTATCCTCAGAACTCAAAAGCACATCTGTTGGCGAAGGTAGTTGAAGATGACAAGCTCCAGGGACAAATCTACTTTTTCTACTAAATCCTTTACCCACAGAGCCCTCATCATTATTTTCAGAGAAGGCAGCTGCTGAGGACTCCAGTTTCACTGCTGCCTTCTTTGGAAATGCAAAAGAAAAGCCAATTTTGTGTCTGTGAATTCCTGGGCCTTGATCCCCAAGTTGGTTATTTTGGGTTGTATGATGACTCGCACTTTCTGAATCTGTAGCAACTGGGGTAATATCCTTAGTATTCTCTTCACTATGATGCAAGGTGTTTTTGAACTCATCTTTATTGTTAACTGAATCCTCAACAACTCTTTGGGAAGTTTCATCACAATTTTCTCGCACAGTAACAGTTGTTGACTTGAACATGGGGCCGCTTCCAGGAGCACTACAAAAAAAAAACAGATGTTTGTATTAGATAGAAAAGAATATCCAAATACATTATCTGTACATAAAGCCAAAAGTTGTACATTATATCATATAATCTACTGAGTGCTAAATAAGGAGCTATTTATTTACATCTGACTTACGTTTATTTGTCATGACCTATAACTGCAAATTGTGAGTTAGGATTAAAGTAACTCAGCTGTTAAGCATATAAGAAGGAATTACCTAAATATTGTCTTTATCTAAATAGCAAAACACTTTGTAGACTTTTCCATGTTATTACAAAATGTAGTTTTAAAAGTTACAAATTCTTATTTAAGTTACAGAGCAGTAGACTATTTTATAAGCTTGTATGGGATGACAAATGATACTAAGTTCCAATTTGCAAATCTTTAGAGGCATAGGATTAACAGAAAAACCTTGAGTAAGTATAATGTGAAAATATGCTTTTCATGGGGAAAAATTAATAATTTAGTCAGGAACCGTGATATAGCTCAATGGTAAACATTTGTGTTCACTGTGTGAATGCTTGAGTTTGATCCCCTGTGGTATGTAGGTTCACACACAAACACATTCACACATACAAACACACACATTCTCACACTCTTTCTATTTATACATATAACATTAAAGGGGCAATATAAAATGTAAATGTTCCTCAAGCTTCAGGTAAAAATGTGATTTCTTACACTCCAGTTTTAATCAATTCACAAGTAAATCAAATGATGTGCCTTAGAAATTCAGTGAGTCATTCATATCTTTTATAAAAACATAATTTATAATTTTTCAAATGAAAATTCTATGAATTTTCACATAAAATGTTTATTCTTAAACATTAATTATGACAAAAGTCACAATATGGTTTCTTGGTAATTTCTTTCACCAAGTATTTTGAATTTCTGCTGAGAAATAGAATACTTTTCAACTAATTTTCAAGAGCAGAAAATTGTAAAGTTTATTTTTAAGTAAAATAATAATTTTAGCCTTTTAATGTATTGTAAGGGCTGGAGCAATGGCACAGTGGGTAGGGGATTTGCCTTGCATGCGGCCGACCTGGGTTCGATTCCTCAGTCCCTCGAGAAGAGCCCTGCAAGCTACCGAGAGTAGCCCACCCGCACGGCAAAGACTGGCATGCTCCCCGTGGCGTATTAGATATGCCAAAAACAGTAACAAGTCTCACAATGGAGACATTACTGGTTCACGCTCAAGCAAATCAATGAACAATGGGGGGACAGTGCTACAGTGCTAATGTATTGTAAACGAAATGTAATTGTATAAAATTCTAATTATTGTTGAAAAATATAGTCATGATCTTTAAGTGTTTTATATTGGGTATATAAATGAATATGTATCTTTTATATTTATTCCCCCTTTTGTAGTTGATAAGTTTGAATAAAACTTGAGATTGTTTTGCACACTTACCATACAGTTTCTTTTCTTAGCTCAGCCAGCTTGTGCAGACGTTGGAGAGCTTTTTCCTGTTTTCTTTCATCCTTCCTGGATTTAGATGCTACATTCCTAGCAAATTCTCTTTGTTTCAGTTCTTTGAGTCTCTAATAAAAATATAGAAATGATTAATAGTATTTGGTTTTATGACAGTTTCAAAGTTGTTATTGTTAGAATTTTTCAATATATCACTTTTGATCATATCTAAAGGAAACACATTTGTGAAAAATAACTTGAAATATAAATGTTTTCATGCACTTCTGGCTTATTAAAATACCAAAGTGTGTTTTAAAATATATTTTAAAATATTCTTACACCATAGGTAAAATATAATTCAAATTTTTCATTTGGTGATATGTTAGGTTTATAATATTCTTATTTTCAAGAAAGTTTCATAGTTTGTACATTTTTTTATACAAAATTTTAGCATATCTTGATGAATTCCACATTGCAAAGGTACCTGGTACCTTTTTTTAAGAATCTATGAAATAAACCTATGAAATAAAACTATTTCATATCTACCTATGAACTAAATTTCCATTACTAATGAAATATAAAACGATGCTTCATTTCACATACATTTCCATAAAACTCAATGCAAAAGAAAAATTGTTTTTTTTTAGGAGGAAAATTCTTTGCATTTTGTTTGAAAATTTCTTTTCCATTGTGTTATTTTACACCTGCAGTAAAAAAGCTCATTTTCTGAGCTCAAGATCAGAAAAAGCATATGCCAAGTGGAATAGAACTAATAAGCAGCTATGCACTTAGAATGGTTTAAAAGATTCGGACCCAAATATGTTCACTTTGACTTTTTACATAAACAGTATATAGTTATTAAAATGATAAGGCATTATTTATGTCTTAAAATTTTATGTTCTTAAATTATTTTAAAGCAACAGCCTTAGAGTAGGATTCTAATGGAATATAACACAATAAAAAATAAAAGCAAATAATTATGTTTTCAATTCTCAAAATAATCAGCATACAGAAGTTTTTAGATTTACTGGACTTATCAATAGTATATAGCAATACTCATGAGAAGCCTGAGGAAACAATTCTAAATAAAGTAACATCCTTTGGTATATAAACACACAAAATAATTCCCTGTTCACAATTATAAAGTAACTCTTTAATATGTCTTATCATATTTTTCTCAGCAGCCAATTGTTTTAGTAATGAAATAATAATGTCATTGATTTTATTGAAATCTTTTTCTCATCATATTCTAATACAGATTTTGCCTGTCAAATTTTTAACACTGAGTCACAGCATATTGATGAAGTTACTGAATAATTGTCTTAATATGTGTCTTCTCCATATACAACCATATATACGAGGATCCAATGAGTAATATCTAGTATGTAAAATATATGTTTGATAAATGTTTGCAGATTCATATGTGAGATAAGTAGATCAACCAAATCAGGGATTTTCCTACCTCAAAAATATTGATCGTGAGGGGGGTGGTGGTGGGGATATTATCCATGGTGGTGGAAAATGGGCACTGGTGGAGGGATGGGTATTTGATCATTGTATGACCGAAACCCAAGCACAAAGACTTGTAAATCTACAACTGTACCTCATGGTGCTTCACTAATAAAATTAAAAAATAAATAAATAAAATAAAATCATGTTAAATGTGAAACAGTAAAAATGAAAACCTGATAATTTTTTAAATTTTGATCTATGAATTGTTAACCCAGATTACATTGATATTTAATATAGTATACTACTCTAAGAGCAAAGATACATATAATGTTTCTTTACACCTGTAAACTTTACATCAAATCTGGATTTCTAACGACTTGAAAAAAATAAAGAATGTCTAGAAAAAAAAATACTGATCGTGAGCTTAAATAGTATTAGATTCTAGGTGGTACTATATGATATCTGTTTAGTTTCACTAACATAGTTTAAGTTTCAAATAGTCTTTAGTTAATGAATTTGTATAAGATTATAGATATTTGTATTATTCTACAATAATTTAAGTAATGCAATTATTTTAAGACTGTTCAGTTTTATAATTTTTTTTTATGAAGGGTAGTTTATTCAGAGTTTGGGGTAGTTTATACAGTATTTGTTGTTTAAACAAATAGTGTAAAAATAATACATTTAAATTATACAAAAATTTTTTAGAAAGTGAAGTTCAGTCATCATTACTTTGATATAAATGTAAAAATTAGATACATTATAAGAGGAATAAATTTATCATTACAAAAACAATATCTGGAATAGGAGCATACCAGGCATGAACACTTCATTTCTAAGTTTAATTTATTCACAATCTTAGCAATCTAAATTTTCTAAGACCTCTTAAGTAAAAACAAGTCTTATTTAACAAATTTACTTAAACTGGAGGGATTGTAAAGCAGATAGATCATTTATCTTGCATGTGGCCAACCTAGATTTGATCCCTGACATCCCCTGAGCACTGCCAGGAGTAATATGTGACAGCAGAGTCAGGAGTAACCCTTAGCATCACCAAGTATGCCCTCCCTCCTGTCCCAAAACAACAAATTTAATTCATACTAATAATAGTTACTCTGTTAAATAGTTGTGATTTTAAAATACATAAAGAAAATCATTCTTTCCAATATATTAATGTTTCAGTTACTGTTCTGTGGACAATATTGTGTGAATGTATATTTATATACAGTTTTCAGAAATTGGAAGAGAACATGCACAAGATAAGACGATAATAATCTCTGAGATGATTTTGTGTTTGAGATAGTCTTATTTTTTCATATAAGAACAGAATAAGAAAGCCCAAAGACTGTCACAAAAAACTAACAGGGAAATAACCTCTTACAAGAGTATTAAAGGATACAAAAAAAAACCCCTAAAGAATGGTTGGCTGTTTAAGATAGGACAATATTTCAAGAAAAATGAAGTTTTGTATAAAAATAGAAGCTAGTAAGAACATCAATATATTTTTTCTTTACATAGAAGTATGATGAAAGTAGTATATGCATGTGGAAATGACTGAAGGAAACATTAGAAAATCTAAAGAAATGCCAAAAAAATGCCAAAATAAAATTTTTATTTGATGAAGATTCTTTGCACAAACTTTGTTATGAAATAAGACAAGACAAAGAGAGCCACAAATAGATTATTGTAAAAACACGCAATGAAACTACTATTCACATCCTTGACATGTGATGAGGTAACAGAAGCACCAAAAATAGATTGCACAGACAAGAAGACATCATGCAAATTTTACCCAGTCCATAGGTCAGATCAGGAGCTTTTTATGCTTCAACACTGTGCCAATGTGAATTAAATAATAATATTCTTGGATTTAGAAATATTTTTAGAATTTTAAGGTTTCCTTCCTCCTGTAAAGGTTGTCAAGGAACAAAAGCTATAATTAAACATTCCTGTGATCTCCATCTTTCTTTATCTTTATGTAATTATCTTAAACAGACTTTCTATTATAAAAATAAATCTTCTTATCTAATATTTATGGATATTTAGTTGTAGAGTTTATAGACTTATCTGAATGCTCTAGCTCTTTATAGCTAGATATTATCATTCTTAATATCCTTTTTATTTTTTCTGCAGAAGAAATAGATTCCTATATACTATTTATGTCTAATACAATAATTTTGAAAAATAATAATAGAAACAACTTTTTTTAAAAAATGCCAAATAAAAGAAAAAGTTATTGTATGTACTAAATATACAAGATAATTTCATGAAACTGATATCTAAACAACTTATTTGGGATCACTTAAAATTAAATTTTAGTAATAAATGTCAAAAGGAATACTAGTCAGTAGAGTTGCAAAATTAATGGATTGTTATATGGAATTTATGGAAATATGTAGGCTAACTACTGTATTGCAAACCAAATTATAATTCACATTGGCATGTAATTCAATTCATGTTTTTATATATGCAAGTAATGAATAGGAACCTTTTTCTTTTTAATCGATATCCCTTGCTTATAAAAATACAATCAGAGATTGTGCTCTTGTTTGTCACAGAGTTCCTTCTATTCGTCTAAAGAGGCCAACACAGGTCATTCACACTCAAGTGTAGTTTCAGAAAATCTGTAGTATTTGGATAGTTGAGATAGTTATTATGTTTCTGGCTTCTGATTGGTAATGGTGTTTAGAGACTTGCAAAGATTTAATCATACCAAATTGCTTTAAACTTACTCACTAGAAACAGAATTATGTATTAGCACACTATATCTAAAGGTCTGTATACCTGATTTTTGATGCATCAAGCAGATTGCAAGGTTCTCCTCTCATTTTTAAGCTTATTTGAAAAAAAATCATCTGCCAAACTGTGAAGCTAGAATTGATTTCCTTGAGAAAGTATTCACTATTGACAAAAATCTTTCTGTTGACTGACATCCAAAGCAGCATCAAGCAACTACAGGCTACTAGTAATTTTATGTCCCAGTCCTTACTCACAAGCCATCTCACAACAGGATGATTTCTTGAGTGTCAGAAAGACTGCATCTTTATTAATCTAAGCCTGAGTTTCATGTAATTTTATATGAAGAAGTCAAATACATTTGCTATATGTTATTGCATTTAATTTCATTTTGTTTGGTATATATAAACAAATCAAAGTTTCCTCTCAAACAAAGAAAGGTTTATATAGAGAAAAAGATAATGGAAATGTATATTGCATTATAGGTCAACTTAGTGTTGGTTGACCAAAAAATTTTCATTGAGCAGGTACATTTATTTGAGTGAATATTCATGGAAGGTGAGGAATAAATGAAAAAGTTCTCTTAAGGATACAGCAACTGTGACATATGTAGGCAGAGAACAGCCAGATTAAAAGTAATAACATAATCTTAGGTTATTTGATAACTGCTCTTAGCCTGCATGTGAGAATGCTGTGCTACTTAGCTGCAACTTTTAAAGTGTAGGGAAGGATTATCTGTTTATTTGAACTACAATACTAGGAAAATGACAATTGACAAGAAAGATAAAACAGCCGTAGCTAACAGAGAAATCTGCCCCAATGAAGACAGTTATTCAAAGTGGACAGATGCAATGCAGTGAGATTAAATACTAATTTTGGGCTGTGACCAAGGCTTGGCTGGCTGATTAGAAACATGGGTACATCATGATTAGAAAATTAATAT